ATGTATGCATGCCAATTCCAGATCTCAAAGAGAAACCCCCCCTTTTTTATTACGATCAGATCATCAATGGCGATGGCGGGAGTAGCTGTTTTAGTAGAGGCTTACGTGATCGGATCTTTATATAAAGAGAAGTTGGAGGAAGAAGAAGAAGAAGAAGAGACGACAGATGTTGATGATGATACCAACTTTTATGATGCCGAAAACGAAATCCCTCCCGATGATAGTTTTAATACAATCCCTTCTCCCCAGGTTTCTAATTCTACCAAAATTTCCATTTGAACACCAACTCATGGGATCCACAAAACTTTCTTCTTCTTTTTTCCTTCTTTAATTTATTAAATGTTCATTGTTTATGTGCATACGCGAATTAAAGAAAAAAGAAAATTCGTGTCATTATGGACAAACTAATTTTGTACTTAAATAATTAATCAAATTATGACATGTAATACTTAATGTTATGTCAACATTGGATATGTACTAATGTGATGTCAAAATTTAATTTAATTGTTAAAATGATATTTGGCATGCATACCATTTTGAGAAATATTTTCAAGTTTAGGTTTTAAAATAAATAAATTAAAATACCAACTTCAATAAATATTTGTCTATGGATCAACTGATATATTAGGCCTCGTGATTAATTCAGTTTTGTAGCTAATTTGTACATTGTTAAATCGATTTGTTCAGTTATGAAATTTCGTAACCAGCAAAGGAGGGACAAATAGGACTCTTGCCCCCCTTTATTAAATGGAATATTACACTTTTAGCCCCTAAAAGATGAATTTTTTAGTTGTCACTTTTAGTTTCTTGGTTAAATATAAAATGTATACTTTTTACCTTTTCAAAAGTTATTTTGTGTAAGTTTTTTTTTTGGATAAGTAAATTTTTATTTATCCAATGAAAAGGTACATCAAAACATCCCAATTGGGATTTAAACAAAGTTACTTACAACAAAAATCAGTTTAAACCCCAATAATTACATAAGTTCATATTCACATAGTTAGTCCTATTGAAGTTTCTGTCACTGAGATTGAATCGAACGAGGTCTTTTATATCTTTTAAGACTTGATCCATTGTTCTTGATTCTTTCCTGAAGATCCTTCGATTTCTTTCATCCCAGATCAAGTAAATGTATGCTGTCCATGAAAGTTTCAGGATGGTGGTGAGGAGTGATTTGCCTTTCCAATGTTGAGAAGCCCATCCAATTCTTGTTTCCCAGGTAGTATGCATGATGCACATGTTAGAAAGACTCATGATAGAGTTCCATAGAGAAGTAGCAAAAGAACAGTCCATAAACAGGTGATTTTTAGTTTCAGTCAACTCTCGACATAAGCAACATAAATCATCAGAAACAATACCCATTTTAGAGAGTCTTTCCCAAGTAGGAAGTCGGTTAAGAATAGCCATCCATGAGATAATACTCAGCTTGGGAATGTGCAGTGAAAACCATATAACTTTATGCCATGGTACCTTTGCATTTTGTTCTCTCAATTCCTCCCATAATTCTCTGGTTTTCGAAATCCCTTTGTTAATAATAGGGATGGCTTCAGTCCTTATTTTGTGTAAGTTGAATTCAATGAGCAGTCTTAAATGAATTGTTATTCTCCTTTAAAGTTTTGAGTTCAAACAGTTGTGTCTACAAGGTATGTGCTCGTTGTCAATGGTTAAAAAAATATATTACTATATAATCACCACATACTATTAAAAAAATAAAATTAAGTTAATTTGGAGTAGATCTTATAAGAATTTATTACATGAATGGTTTACTCTGGTTTACTCAATCCAATTTTCTCCATTCACAATATCACAATATAAATTTTTAAATTTACTCAAATGACCTAACAATTAATCTCACTAAATCAACTGATAATTAATACAAATATTCGTCTTTTACTTTTTCAATCGCAAAATTCTAAAAAACTTATGACTGACACTATCCGAAAAGGAGAAAAAGAAAATACATAATATTGATATAATATTAAAAAATTATATAATTACTTTGTCTTTTTTTTGAAATATTTTAACCCTTAATATTTTAGTTTTAAATAAAAAACCTCTAATATTTAATTAAATAGTTATTTTAACTCATATTATCTTTTAGGAGAATTTTGACACTTAAAATTTTATTTTGAGACAAAAATCTATTTGTGTTGATAAAAATTATTAATCAACAAATAAAGACATGTACTTGTTCTTGCACCACTTGCTAGCACTGACAAACCGGGACATGTACTTACTCTTGCACCACTTGTAGTTGTAGTCAGGAGTGGATGCACTAAATTTTTATAGGGGTCAAATTTATCCTTATTATTTTAAAAAAATGATTAAATTTTGTTTAATGTGGTAATAAAATAAAAATTAAAATATATACCCATTATTTTTTTTTAAATATTAAAATTTTAAATTTTATTCTTAAATTTCTAAATGCGTCATTGGTTGTAATAGGAGCACTTTCCTCTTATCATTTTTGTGTATTACCTATTCTCGATTGGAGTCTGTAAGATTAATCCAACAATCTTTTTTATAAAAGAATATATAAATTTTATAAAAAAAATACAAATACGATAGATATTATTACAATAGTATTTTTTTTTGAAGATTATTACAGTAGTATATTATTAAATAGTATATTAAAAATGCTAAAAAGGTACTTAAATAAAAATATTACATGCGAAACATGTGCTTTGAAGATGGCCAGGATAATGGTTAAGATAATGTCTTTAAAAAAGAAATTTCTCAAAATAATTTATCTCGGTTATTATTGTTAAAATACTTTTAAAAAACTCCAAGATTACATGGAGTCTTCAGTTAAAGATTTCAATACAACTATACATTTTTAACTTTGGGAAAACTAAAGACTCAAAGATTACGTGGAGTCTTCAATTAAAGATTCTAAGATTACTATTCGTATTTCCTTTTAGCGGAAAATAATATGGTAATAGTCTTATACGAGAAATTATATTTTTCCAATGTAATATATGAGCAAGGAAGCCGAAGATTGCCTTTTTCCATAGTATTATGTGTATGTGTTATAGGCGTGAATTTGGCCAATAGGCCTGGCGAGTGAAAAATTTAGCAGATTAGATTATCTTATAAGTTAATTTAGATTTACACAATGTTATAATTAGGGGTGTTTAAATTTTTGAACTAATTCGGTTAACCGACCGAATCGAATTAGTTCGGTCGGTTAACGGTTAATTTTTTTTTTAGAATTCTGTTAACGGTTAATTTGGCTCGAAATCAGTTAATTAACCGAAATAACCAAAATTAAATTTTAAATATTAAATATATTATATATAATATATGGGCTCAGTCCAAACCATTTAAAATTTAATTAATAATTTAAGATCCAATAACTTTTAAACCTAAATCAATATTAATTAATTAAAAAATTTATATAAAATTTTTATTTTATAATTATATATTATTTAAATTAATTTTAACATGTTTTTTAATTAAAAAATATTAAATATATTATATATAACATGTGGGCTCTGTCCAAACCATTTAAAACTCAATTAATAATTTAAGATTCAATAACTTTTAAACCTAAATCAATATTAATTAATTAAAAAATTTATATAAAATTTTTATTTTATAATTATATATTATTTAAATTAATTATAAACTGTTTTTTTGAATTAAAAAATATTTAATTTTTATATAAATTAAAAAATTTCAGTTAATTCGAAAATTAACCGAAATTTATTCGGTTCGGTTAATATTTTCGAAAAAAGTTTGGTTCGATTAACGATTAAAGAAAAAAAAGTTTGATTAATGGTAATTCGGTTCGATCGGCCACCGAATTAACCGAATAAACAACCCTAGTTATAATATTAGGGCAAGTTGGTCATAATTACATGACGAGTTTATTGAAATAATATTTTTATTTGAATTCGTCACGTCTAGATGATAAGTTCTAATAAAATATAATTTTTTAATTATTTTTTATAATATCGAAGTGACAAGTTTCAAGAAAATATATATTTTACTTGAACTCGTCATGTCATGTGACGAGTTCCAAGTTACTATATCAAATGTCGTAGTTCTTTAAATAAAAAATCTGTTCTCATATTAAACTAAATGGGGTAAATTATACCATTCTACATTGAATTTTAGTTTCTCGTCTATTTTACTCACCGTACTTTCATTTTTTTTAATTTGTGTACTGAATTTTACATATTGAATCATTCTGCTTACTCTGCCATTAATAATCTAACGTTGTGATGACATGTCATTTATTATTATTATTATTTAATATAAAATAGTTGAAAAATATAAAGGGTAAATTACACCGTTCCTTATTGAATTTTACTCTATATCTTATTTTGTCCATCCAACTATAAAGAAAAGGATTCAAAATAACATTATTTTAGTGTATATTTGAGTTTTTTTTCAAAACGACGTTGTTTTGATACTTGTGTTATGTCATAACATCATTAAAAAGTTAACAACAAAGTGAGCAAATTAAAAAAATGAAAATAAAATAAGTAAATTAGGAAAGAAAATAAAATTCAATAGAAAACATTGTAATTTACCCAACTAAAAAATTAGCTCTCATATGGAATTGGGCCAAAATTGCCGTGAATTCATTACTCCTTTTGCTTTACAAAGCGTGATTGGCGGTAGGAAAATAATGAAAGAAGTGATTGCTTATGCCAACCCCCACTACGCTTTTGTTAACTATGCTCAACCCCCGCCCATGTGACCTCTATTTGCCAGCTGCGGAAGCAATCAATATCGTCCCCACTTTAATCCTCTACGCTCCCCATCTTCTCTCTTCTATACATTTACCAATATAAGCTCGCCACATCACCACCCTCAAACGACCCATTTACCAAATCGACACCACCCCTCCTACTTTCCCATGACGCCATGCAAGAACGGCAACTTTTATCATATCATCTCCACCGCACACGAATATGCTCTTCTGACGCGGTTTACCAAGTTTACCCTTTTCTTTTTCCCAACCTTTTTGTTTAATTTGCTTATATCACTCCATCGTTTTTCAATCTCCACCCCTTCCATCACGTTCTCTAGAGGAAACCCTCCAAAAAGAAAAAGGTCGAAAAATGGCGAAAGTATTGTTGTTCATCGCTCTGTGCGTGGTTCCATCTCTGGTTAGTGCTGCACGGATGGTGATGAATCCATTGATGGTTCAAGGTCAAATTTACTGCGACCATTGCCGTGCTGGCTTTGAAACACCCAAGACTACAAACATGCCTGGTACTTTCACCATTCCTACCATTTTTATATGCCTTTTTCTGTGTTTTTGTTTGTTTTGTTGCTGACATTGTTCCATCTGTTTTGTTTTTTTTAGTTTGCGAACTTGTAGTTTTGGGTTTCATGAGTGTAGAGAAATTAGGGTTATGTTTGGAACATAAAGATAATGGAATAACCATGATTTTTGTGCTAGTGGTTAATTGATCCTTTTCACTACTAAAGCCTAAAAGTTTTTAGTGTCAAGTTGACTAGCAATAGCCAAATTATAGTTTTTTTTACTTAAATTTTGACAACCGAGAGAAGATTGATTGATTCTATGTTGTAATTTTTAAGGAAAAAAGGGTTTGGTTTCAAAATTATGTTGCTCATAATTTTATGTCACATAGATTTCAGTGCGAGTTTAGATATGGGTTTATTGTATCATACACTGCTATTTTTCAGTTTTTTTCTTCATATATTTGGAGTATCATAATACTTTACATCCAATGAAGAGTTGGAGTAACATTAGTTGTACTAAACCAAGAATGGCGCCTTATGGGGATGGAACTTCTATGTTTTCATTGTCTAATTAACTGTTGACATTTTGGGATCTGGGTTCAATTATAAGAAGATAAGAGTACAAGGCTAAATGATGTTACCTTTTAGGGCAATTAGTGGTACATTTGTTGCGTTTAGTTCTGGAATTTTAGTTCACTGATGATGTGCTTTATAGGTGCCAAGGTTAAGGTGGTATGTTCCGACAGGAAGACTGGTGAAGTTGTGTACGAGAAGGAAGGATATACGGACTCAACCGGACAATACAAGATCAGTGTCTCCGAGGATCATTTAGATGAGGTATGTGATGCTCTTCTTGTGAAGAGCTCGCAGCCCGAGTGTGCTCAAATGACGCCAGGACGTGAACGTGCTCGTGTGATCTTGACCAATTTCAATGGCATTGCATCGAACACCCGTTTCGCCAACTCTATGGGATTCATGGCCGACGAGCCCGAAGCTGGTTGTGCTGAAGTTATGAAGTTGTACCAGCTGGAGGAAGATAACTAGAAGTTGTGATTATGTGTAGCTTACTGCTCGACATATGAACGTGTTGTCCGCTATCCGTTATTAAAAGTGTTTCTTTGTTTCCCCTGTTTTGAGGAAACTCGTTTTCTTTGAACTCTAATATAAATATTCTATTTGTTTTGTCTTTTTTATAGGTTTTAGTTTGGTCATTTTGCTTTTATTCAACTTTTTATTCTCAAATTAGAAAGTCATAATTATTTAAAGCTTATTGGCTTAATATAAAAATAAGTATCTAAATTATACTCAAAATTAATATTTTGGTATCTAAAGAATTTTTTAGCTAAAAATAGATGCATAAAGTTTTCTTCGTTACTTTTTTAGATGTTTATCGTTAAAAAAATCATTAAGTAATGTGTCGCGTCTAATTTTTTTTAAATATTTTATTTAAAAAAATATAAGCGTAACATGTGTCACTTAATAATTTTTTAACAGTGACATTTAAAAATGTAACAGAGAAAATTGTATACACCTATTTTTAACTTTATTTAGGCACTAAAATGTTTTTTAAGATATTATTTAGACACTTATTTTTGTATTAAACTTTATTTAATTTATATTAATTTTAATTATTTATTACATAAAAATAAATATTCTAATTTTTTTGAAACAAATATGTTCATTATATTAATTATTAAAGACATCATCAGAAGAATATCAAACAATGACATACATAAATAAATCACTACGACGTTCTTTAGCACCAGACATAGAAGAGGAGAACCGAAAGAGTTTTTGAAGTGGATGAATGCAAAATTAATCTCCTTAATTGTTGTCTCATCTTATCGTCATGAGAAAAACTTAAGGAAGAAAGAGAAGTCGTCGAAAAGATATCATGACCCAAACAAAGAAAAATACGACCATGAGATGACATCATGAGAAGAGGGAGATTTTCAAAACAAACACTAACCGACATATATATTTGAAAGCCAACAGAATATCATATACAAACGAACGAAGAAATCAAATATAAGGAAAAAGAACAACTAAGAAATCTCATAGGCCTACAAACTAAGAAGAAGATCAATGGAAGCTGCATAAGGAGCCAAAAAAAACTTTGATAGCCATGATACCTTTGAAAAAAAATAAAGAAAAAATATTATTATAAATACATCAAAATATAATTGAAAATAATAAAATCGAACAACAACAGACTGAAAAGTTAAAAAGAATAAAAATGATAGGAAAATTATTAAATAGTTGAGAGTTTTTGAATAAATGTTGCTTTGTATACACCCGAATTTATAAAAAAAAATTAACAAAGAAATAATATCACATGCGTATAATTCAGTTATTTGATTTTTTAAATTATTTGAATTTTTTAATTTTTAAATTCAAACCGAATTATTCTATTTGAATAATTTTAAAAAATTGAATTATAAATTTATAAATATCACATGCGTCTTTGCCTCTTAGGTAGTTTATATGCAATTTGATTTCTTTTAACATAAAAAATATAAGAATAAAAATAAATTAAAAATATTATAAATTTCTAAATATTTTATAAAATAAATATATGTAATTTTTAAGAAATATTTAAAAATCTACAAACAACTGTGTAAATATAAAAAAAAAGTTATTCCTAAATGTTGAGTACAAAATTCGAGTTTATTGTTAATTCCATAAACAAATTTTATTAAACAAATTTAATTATCTATATTTCGTAGATGCTAGGTTTTAAAAATAAATCAGTCTAAATTTTAAAATTAAAATTAATTTTATAAATGCAAATTATTAACTTTTTCAGGTCCTTAAGTTTTCTATATTTGATCCCCTATACAAATATATTAATTTGTTAACATAAGTCGTCTTTTGAATTTTTTATATCAAATTATTGTTCATTAAACATTAAAAATATAAAAAACTAAATAATTTTATAATAAATTTAAATATTATTTTTTGACATAAAATCTAAGTATTATTTTATTCATGGAACAATAATACAAACAAAATTATATTAATCCAAACCAAAGGATCTCGTTCAAAGTACAAATAATCATCTTTGAAATCCATATTGCACAAGCGCTCCGATCCGTGAATAAATGTACCTGAAAATCATGAAAAACTAAAATTATAAAGGGTGAATGTATATCAAATCTAATTATATTTTTATGATGATACTTGTTTTCGTCCGAGACATTTCAAACTTTAGTATTTATAAAGTATATTTATATATAAGTATAGTATAAATAAAATAATATATATAGGTTTTGAAAAATAATATATTATATAGTTTTGATAAATGGTTTTGAAAAATAGTATATTATATAGGTTTGAAAATAATATATATATATATATATATATATAGTTTTGAAAAATGGTTTTGAAAAATAGTATATTATAAAATATAGTTTTGAAAATAATATAGTATATATATATAGTTTTGAAAAAAATGGTTTTAAAAAATATAGTATTAGTTTTAAAAATAGTATATATGTAGTTTTTTTAGGTAATATATTTTTTAAAATAAATATTTTTATAGTTTAAAAAACATATATAGATTTCAAGAAAATATTATAATAATTATATATATATAATATTTAAATTTAATTTAATTTTATTTGTCCTTTTTATTTTAGGGTCAGATTTGTAATGTCCAAAGAGCCAAGGTTTAAGTTGAATAATCTAGTGGACGAGTTCAGATGCTAGTCATCAAAAGAGCTCGAATTGGAGCCCATTCGAAGCAGTCGAAGTGTGTTGCCAAGCAAGTAGGGTTTTCATCCAGGCGCCGGCTATCAAGAGCCATTGGATCTGAACCAATCCAATGGCCCTGATTATGAGGAACAAGTTAGGGTACGTTTGGTTTACGGAATATAAGATTACCAGTGAGAATAGGATTACCGGAATGTAACATTACCTAACACATTACTGTGTTTGATTTGTTTGGTCGTAATGTAAGATTACTGTGTTTGGTTGAAGCAATAAAATATTACTGAAATGTATATTTTACCAAATTGACCTTGTTCTATATTTTTTAACAAGTAAAATTCTAATTATTTAAATAAAAATTATTTATATAAAAATTCATTGATAATATATTTAAATAAAAATTATTTATATAAAAATTCATCGATAATATTATTTTATTATTTAATATATCATTATTTTAATTTTAATTAATATTAAATTTTACATAATTTATTTAAAAAATATATTAAAATTTTTCTTCAACATAATTATATAAAAATATATCATGTTCAATATTAGGAATTTTTAACTTTCACTATAATATTGAATCGACCATGAAGATGATTCCGTTGGATAATATTTTCCACACAAAATAGCTGCTGGGGTATCGATTCCTCTAAAGGAGGCATCGATACTTCTATGCAAAGAGGTATTAACAGTAGAACAAGAAGCAAAGAACATCGAGAAAGCTCAATCCCAAAGTAGAACAATGGCAGCACAAAGCAATATCAATGTTTTTCTTAAACAAAACTGTTTCTAATTTCCAACAAAAATTACGATCAGACACCTACCACATAAACAAAAACAACTAGTCTTGACAGGATTAAACCCAAATTATATTTTAATTCATTTCCCTAATTAACTCATTGATGTATTCTCACGGTTGCCGGCATCTCCTCATTCGACATAGTGGTTCCTCTTCTTATTTAGACCACCCAATAGTGCCTTGAGCTGGAATGGCCCAAGGAAGTTGTTGGCCTCCTTAAAATGAGGTCCCACAGTCATTATCTCGTGGATGAGATCTTCTACACAGATTATGCCAAATTTGCCCAGAGCCTGATAATCAATACAATACAAAAGCTTGTTTAGTAATTGACCGTGTCACTTTGTCTCTTACTCCTTTTTTACGCATTCGAACATGGATGCAAGGACAAAAGATATGTTCAAACACAAACTCTCCTACTACTTGCATCCAAGTCCTAATGACATAAAATTCTTGAAAGCAAAAATGATACTGACCTGCTCAATGACTTCATTGTCAGTCAATTCAATTCGCTGCTTGTTCAACTTCCCATAACCTTTTTTGTAAATCAATTCTCTAACACTCTTGAGGTTCGAGTATCTAGAACCATGTCATCATTCAGAAATAAGATAAGGCAAGCATATAAAATTAATAAAATGGAAAGAGATGATGCAAATAAGGTAAAAGATGCCCGTAAGTCACATAAGGTTCAACTAGGTGAAGCATGTTCACTTTAAGGAAAACACCATTGAAAATATGTATTTGATAAGAACAAACACAACAATTTAGATTCAGATTTTCCAAATTCATTAACAACAACCATCACCCTACAGTGTTGGAAAGAAATACGCCATAAAACTATACCAAAAATATAAAAAGATTGAGGTTAATTCAATCAAATAACAAACACAGGGGAAAATGAGAATTTGATTCTCACAAACCATATTTCTTCATAGATTCAGTAAGTACCTGTCTCAAACGTAAAGTTGCAAGATCTTTCTTGTCATAGGGTGCATGGCATTGATACTGAAAACAAACATTCATACAACATTACATATTATAATTTAGACTCATAAACCGATAAAAAATCACAATAAACACGTACCCACGGATTCGAATAATAAACAAAAGCTTAGCTGAGCCTCGTACTCCTTTGCATATTGCTTAGCCCTATTGAAAATTAGCTTCCGGTTCTCAGCTTTCTTCTTCTTGGCAGCTTCAAGCCCCTGTTTTTTGGCAAGCTTCCATTCTTCATTCCTCTTTCTCTTCTTCAAGAGTGACTCCGGAACCAAAGTCTTAACTTCCTCACCCATTTCTACCCAAAAATCATATAAAAAATAGAACAAATCAGAAAACAGATTCCATATAATATCTGATAGTCCCTAAACAATAACGCCCTCAAAAACATAAACACAAACTAGAATCAAGGAAGATGGTTATCTGAGTAAAGCTTATCACTACATAAGATCTTCAAAATAATTAAACAAAGGAAAAATTCATTTTTTCTAATAAGCAATTATATTGAAAAAAATGGAAATTGAGTGAGTACCTAGTGATTTCATTAACTATAGAGCAACACCATTGAAAGATAAATAGATTGTTAATAAAATATATGCACTTAATCTAGAAGAAGAGGGGTTTCTGGGTATTGGAGACTTGGATACGGTTCTTGTTGTTGGAGGCTGATGAATCCACTACCTCTGT